AACTTACCAGTTTAAGGAAAGGACATTGTTTTGTGGTTGCCTATGATAGAAAGCTGTTGAACTAGACTTGGTCATAGGATGTCCCAATCCAGCCCTCCATTTCTGAGTGCAATTTAAGTGTCTTGTCAAATCAATTTTTTACAAAATATTATTAGTGGCTTATGAAATGGCTGGCTAGATGTCCAGAGGACTTCTATATGTGAGTAAATTTCAAAACCGCAAAGTGTGTTTACTTTTGCCTTGTATATTCAATCTGCAGTTGTCAAGATGGAAAGGTGTATGTTGAGGAGCATGAGTTCTACTGGTGATGCCGTTTCTTCTGTGAGGAGAAAATGGGCATATGCGGGTGTGTAACAGTTCCACAAACAGCTTCTTGGAGAGGAGGGGACAGTTAGCTGCCTTTCTCCCTTGCTTCCTCCATTGCCTCCTCTCTATTGGATGATTTAATGTAGACTAATGGAAATAGGACATCACTTACAAGTTCCGTTTGAACAATATGTAGTATGACCACATAGAACACAAGGTAACTACTGGCATTCTTTTCACCATGCCATGTTAGTAAATGATGGTTTTCGTGTTCAGTTAACCGTCAGAGCTGTGACATTGTGTAATTAAGTATAGCAATATGCAGATGACTGTATATTTGTTATTTTGAAAAGCTCTAAGGATGCCTCTGTGAGAAATTGTTCTCAAGTGCCACAGAGCATTTTAGAGGCTGCCCTGGGATGTAAACAGTGGCATGAATTACAGTACTGATAATGTGAAACCTGTATTTGCATCTGGTTTCCATGTAGAGTTTTAAAACCTAAACCCACAGGTATTTGACTTTTTTTTTCTTATTATTGTATTGAAACTTTTTTTAGGTCATTGACTTTCCCACCCCATTGAAAAAAAAAAATGGTCCTATGATACATAGAATCTTTTTAATTGGAAGAGACCTTTAACATCATCAAGTCCAACTATTAATCCAGTACTGTCAAGTCACCACTAAACCATATCCCTCAGCACCACATCTAACACGTCTTTTAAATACCTCCAGGGTTGGTGACTCCACCACTTCCCTGGGCAGTGTGTTCCAGGGCTTTACAACCCTTTCCAGGAAGAAATTTTTTTTTCTAATATCAAACCTAAACCTCCCCTGGCATAACTTGAGGCCGTTTCATCTTGCCCTATCCCTTGTTACCTGGGAGAAGAGACTGACCCCCACTTTGCTACAACCTCTTTCAGGTAGTTGTAGAGAGCAATAAGGTCTCCTGTGGGCCTCCTTTTTTTCCAGGCTAAACAACTCCAGTTCCATCAGTGTCTCCTCATAAGACTTGTTCTTGAAGTGCTGGGGTCTGAACCCTCAGACCTGAATTAGGGTTGACATGTGGATGATGCCCACAACCAGGCAGAGGAGACCTTCCTCTTGGTTTTTTCTCGAGGCCTGACCAACCTTGGGTGAAAACCAATTAGGAAATTGCCACTGGGTGCCCTGACTTTAGAGATAATATCAGGTGTCCTGCCTCTGGATTTCAGAGTGTAAAGGCTGGATCTGCCTGCCGTGAATGGGGGATGTCTACCTGTGTAGTTGACGTACTATATAGGGTTTCCAGTTATCAGAAAGTCTCCCTGACTGTCCATTGTGGGCAGAGTTCCCAGTGACAATGGGACGTCACAACCAGGACTGAAAGAGGATTATGTGTGTAATGGTGTTACTTCTTGGCAATTACTACATGACTGGAGTTGGACTAATAACCTGGCTTATTCCTCTTCCCATGACTTGGTTTCTGATTTGGCTTGCTCCTTCCTTTGTTTTGTGATGTGCCATGAGTGAATGTATTGATCTATTTATTCCTCTGGTTGTTAGCCATCTCATACTCATAGGGTATACATACCCTATATACTCTGGAATGGGATGGAAAGATCTGGCCTGTGTGCTTCCTATTGATGACAGTGTCCTTCCTACTGGGACCCTTGGTCAGCAAAAGAGTTCTGCAGACCCTTCACCAGCTTTGTTGCCCTTCTTTGGACCTGCTCCAGCACCTCAATGCCCTTCTTTTAGTAAGGGGCCCAAAACTGAACGCAGTATTTGAGGTGTGACCTTACCAGTGCTGAGTACAGGGGGATGGTCTAGTCCTAGATCCCTAGTCCTGTTACAATATTGGCCATGATATTTCTGATATAGGCCAGGATGCTCTTGGCTTTCTTAGCCATCCTGGGCACACTGCTGGCTCATGTTCATCTGGCTGTTGACCAACATCCCCAGGTCCTTTTCTACTGGACAGCTTTCCAGCCACTCTTCCCCAAGTCTCTAGCTTTGCATGGAGTTGTTGTGGCCCAAGTGCAGGACCCAGCAGTTGGCCTTGTTGAACCTCATACCACTGGCCTTGGCCCATCAATCCAGCCTGTCTAGATTCCTCCTTAGAGCCTCCCTACCTTCAAGCAGATCAACATACCCACCTAACTTGATGTCATTTGCATACTTTCTGAGGATGCCCTCAATCCCCTCATCCAGATCACTGATAAAGATATTAAACAGAACAGTCCCAAATACTGAGCCTGGAGAACACCACTTGTAACCAGCTGCCAACTGAATTTAACTCCATTCACCACCAGAACTCTTTGGCCCTGAACATCCACCCAGTTTTTTACCCAGCGAAGTGTACACCCATCCATGCATGAGCATCCAGTTTCTTCAGGAGAATGCTGTGGGAAAAGTGTCAAAAGCTTTACTGAAATGCAGGTAGAGAACATCCACAGCCTTTCTCTCATCTACGAGGCAGTTCACCTTGTCACAGAAGGAGATCGGGTTAGTCAAGCAGGACCTGCCTTTCACAAACCCATGCTGACTGGGCCTGATCACCTCGTTGTCTGCTATGTGCCAGGTAATGGTACTCTGTCTGCTCCATAACCTTCCCCGGCACCGAGGTCAGGCTCACAGGCCTCTGGGGGGTTTTGTGTGGTCCATCAATTCCAGTTGTAATTCCAGATGGCCTTTGCCTGCCCGCCAGATTTCCCAATCCTGTTTGTGGTACCTTGAGCAGCAACAGAACACGTATTTGTATTCCAGCCAAGTTGTGTTCAACAACAGTCTGCAAATGGAGTTGGGAGTATGGGAAGGGATGGGGATAAGAACTGGGGAAGGAGGGGGATAAGAATAGTAGGGAGTCAGGCAAGAATTACTGGAGGCCTGCATGGATGAATAAGAAGTTCCTAACAAAACTCAAACATAAAAAGGAAGTATATGGCCTGTAGGAGCAGGGACAAATAACCAGGAAGAAATACAGAGGCACTGTCCGAGTGTGCAGCAATGCAGTTAAGGTCAAATCCCGGCTGGAACTGAATCTGTTGCAAGGTGTCAAAGATAATAAGAAAGTTTAATGCAATAAGGGCAGATTTTTTTTTTTTTAATGCAGTAAAAATAATTAACTTTAAAATATGCGGGTGTTTGGCTTCTGTGAGTTAGATCCCATTACTTTGTGAACTGTTTGGCTTGCTTTCTGTCTCCATGCCTTGGCCCAACATCTTGCCTGCTTCTGGAATGCAGTTCCTTGTTTTGCTGCCTTTTGTGTTCCCTTTCCCCATGGCTCTCTACCACATTTCTCTTAACGTGGTGCCTCTCTTTTGCCACATATTGGTCTTTGCAGATGCTTACTCACTAGATTTATTTTTTTTTTTTTTTTGTCCTGAGGGTCCTCCTGTCCTGTTGTCCCTCATCCTCAGACAAGTTTGATGTTGACAGAATAAGGACAAGGAATAAAAATGTTTTTAATGTAGTTTCTCATAATTTCAAGTGTAAGGTTTTTTTTCATGTTTTCTTTGGATCCCAATGCTTGAGATACCCAAGAAGAAAATTTTGGCCTAGAGAATTAAAGTTTTCAGAAGTGAAGCCTTCTATCTGCTTAAAAACGAAGCTAAAAAACTGAGTAGTCTTCTGGAATATGCCACTGCAACTATGGTTGGGAAATAGATGAGGGGAAAAAATAGGCAGTACTGCCTAATTTTAGGTGCAGCTTAGGGAATTTGTTCATGCCATTGAAGTTTTATCATCAGTGAAGCTAAATTCAGCTGTGAGCCTTGAGTCAAGAAATATGTAAGCATGTGTTTAAATCTCAACTGGTTTGACTTGAGCAAATGTGTAGAGTTTAAGCACACCATTCTTTCTTCAAACTGGGACTCTATGGGGGGAGCCTGTTTCTGATGGTCTTGAGACATGGGTCACTGGAACTGCCTGGGTTGTGAGCCGGGGCTGTGTTTCACCTGCTCGTTCACTGTACCTCCTTGTTATGTAAAAACCAAGTGCAGATGAGCTGTTTTCTTTCTCTCTTGAAGGTTGCACTACACTTCCGTGACTGCTCCCTGTCCTAGTGTGGTCTGCCCAGTGTTCCCCCAACCCTAGGAGGTTTCTGGGAAGCCAGGAGCCATCTGAGGCACAGGCCAGCAGGGGTTGCTGTAGGAGTAGAAGATGGAGAAGATTCGCTGCCTCCCTTTTGGAGAAGTCCTCCCTGAGGGTTTTCTCCTGCTGCCCTCTTTTCCCTCTTACTGCACCCAGGCTTACTTGGCCTCAGCAGTGGCTTCCCAGCACAGAGTAGGTGTCTGTTGCTTGCTCACATCTTTGCATATTTTATATGTTCATAAATTAAATACTATGTTGCATCCTTACAATGCTAAAATTAATTTCAGAGTTCATATTTTGGCTCAATACATTTCAAATGCTTTTTCATGTTTCTGTAAAAGTGGACAGTGGCATTCGTAGTGCTTATTTCCACATGCCCATAGATTATTGCTTTAAGATAAATTGTCACTGAAGAACTTGCTGATTTCCTTCAGGACTGGGACATAATTGGATTGGGAATGATTAGTTGCATCCTTTTTATTGAATATTGGGGTTTTTTTCCTCAATTCCTATGAAATCACCATTAGCTATTTTGGCTGCAGTTCTGTGTTGGGTTGAGGCAGTGCTACATTGTAAATCAATATCTTTTCAAAAAGACTGCTGTAAATTGCCTAGATAGCATATGCATGGTTACTTTGGCTGCAATGCTGCTGCAGAGCCTGGATACTCTGCCTTTCTGGGAACTCCACAGGCAAGTCCATCATAAATTTAGGAAAAAAAAATCATTTTAGAGAGAGCATGGTGTTGCTGATGAAATTTAGACGGAGAAATATTGTACCCTCGGTGCTCATCTGTACCTTTTATATTTTAGTCCACTGGGATTACCCTGTCTTGAGAGATTTCTTTGTTTTCTGCTTTAGATTTCCCCCTTTGTCGACTGTAGTACAGCCGTACCATTTCAGCTTGCTAGTGCAGAAAGATGTTGTGAATTCAGTTGCTGAATGATCCCGACCTCACTGCAAACACTAACATTGCTAAAGGGATGTCAAAGAGTTGCAGGTGAATCTGACCTGATCTGGGCAATAGCAAAACGGTAAGATGGGGCTCGTTTAAATCCTTGGGATTAATTGGGTGCTGGGCTTTCCCGTTTCAACCTGAAGCCTAGTTGTCACATGCTTCTAACTTGAGTAGGATTCATTCTGTGCATGTCAGGGTGGGTTTTCTGAGGAATGCTTAAAATCCAGGCAGAGGGAGGCAGTGGGAAGCTGGGAATACCACATGAGACCTATGGGCAGCTACCCTGGTGAGACTCCCCAGCAGCACTGCCTGCGGTTTGTAAATATCAGGGAAAAGGTAGGGGAAGGCTTAAAAGCCATGCTTTTCTCAGCACAGCTTTGTATTTCTCTCTCCAGCAGCCTTATTTATTATTGCATTAAGAGGACAGTATGGGCAATTTTTTCCAATATATGCTTGGCTGAATGCCCTCTGGGACGAGCGAGTGAAGGACATGAGCAGCCACTTTTTCATCTTTGCTAACAAGTCTGTGCATCTTGTGAGATCTGAATAAATGTCTTTAGCAGTTACAGGTGTGGTTGGTGGTGGGAGATAAAATTAAAAATGATTCTTTATAAACACATGCTAGATCATGGGTGTCAGGATATCTTTTTGCCTTGTTAACCTCTGTGATTATTTCTCTTGCATGCCATCTTTAATAAAACAAAAAGTGAGGTAGTTGTTTTTAAGTAGTCATTCTTGAATGCTTATGTAGGAGTGTGTAGGCAGCAGTTTGGATCTTAGTGGGATATTTCAACATATAAAAGCTTAAAGCAGCAGCGTGTTCAGGAGAGGACAGGAGGCAAAAAGCAGCTGTACAAGACAGAAAGATTAAAATGTGGCCATTGTATGGAATAATTTGGATTATTTTTGGTGACTTAACTGACAGCTAGTGTGTTTCAGTTGGAGATCAAGCCATAATATCAACAGAAATCCCGTGGAACTGAACAAAAAAAAATATTTCACCATATGTTCTAGCATTTAAAGGAAATCAGCTGTAGTAGAAATGGTAGAGTTTTGGCTGTTGATTAAGGGCAAAACCAGAGGGGTTTATGTCTAGAAAAGCATGTTAATATTTTATGCAATATGTGAATAATTCTCTAAGAAAAAATCAGTTGCATATCAATGTGAGATCAAATAACTAGTTTGACAGGGGTTCATGTTTGCTTTTTCTGTACTTACCAATTAAGGGTTTTTCTTCTTTGTCACAAAAGAAGATTAAAGGACTAAGATTCAGTCCTATCTCAATTATTTTCTGAATGTTTCATTAGTATGTTGCTGGAGTTCCTTATTTAAAAGAAATATTTTATAAATATGTGACCTGATATGGAGTGCAATGTAAGTGATGTGAAGTGGGCTGTTTCATGCTGTATACAAACCTATTTTACATAGTTTTGTCTCAGAAAGTAGGACTGCTTTATTTTTTGATCAAGAATAACCTTGAATGTTTCTGTTACAATAATTATTTCAGATGCAAGCATGTTGTAATGGAAGTTTTCTTTTGCTTATACTGTCATACCTGTTAATAAATTGAAAACTTCCATTGCATTTGCCTTTGTTTAATGCATAGAAGTAATCCAACCATTTGTGTTTGCTCTCGTGTTGTCCAGGGAATAAAAGTCCAGAAACACTTAGGCATGTGTGATTTTTTTTTTTTAAAGCACATTTTACATTACATTCTTTCTGAGTGATATTTTTTTCATCTACATATGTATGTGAAAGTTGTTGCTTCCGTCAGCTTTCTTCTTCCAAGTGTTTCTTCTCCCCAGATGTAAACCCATCAGCTCTGTTTGCTGTGTTACTGCTGTTTCTGGAGTTCTCCTATTTTAGTTTCCTGAGCTTAAGAGATCAATAGTGTTTTGGACGTTTTTTATCGATAAGTAATATTCCCTTTGGTAATATTCAGTTAAATACAGATACCAAATTAACTGGTTAGGGGGGGGGGGGGAGGGAAAGAATATGTAACGTGGAAAATGTGGCCAAAAGTTAAGAATGCAAATGGGAAACGTAAGAAATACACAGTATAGGCTGTTAGTGCTGAGTGCTGTATGCAGATTAGTCTTTTCTGTGTGGATCGGTTTTGTAGCAAGGCTGAGGTCTGTCACAGCAGGAGATAAGAGCTTACCTGAGGAGTGAATGTTTGCTATCATCTCCTTTGTGTCTCTGACTCTAGACAGGAAGAGATTAAAAAAGTTGGAGTTGAACAAGCTTAAAGCCATCAACATCACATCTTAGTGCAAGGAGGCTAGCCACCCTTTAGAAGTCCTATTGCAAAAATGGTCACCTAACTGTTCCTTTTTAGCTATTTCGCTGTGTAACCCTTAAACAAAAAATCCCCAAAAACAAACATATGGAGTTTTTAACACACTGTAAGCTTGGGTGGGCATTGGGAAAAAAGCTGAGTTCTGAGTAGGTACTTTCAGGCAGGCAGTTCTTGTTTCTCTCGGAGACTCCACAGACGAGAAAATGGACGGTACTGTTAAAAGAGCCTGTGCTTAGACCTCGGTAGAAGCATGCCTAGGGGTGTCCCAAAGCATGAGATGCCAAGGGGTAGCTGGCGTGGGCACTGGGAGAGCCTCTCACACAGCTCTGCTGGTCTCCAGAGATAAGAGATTGTTTTGTCCTTTAAGGGAAGCCTTTACATGGTACCAACTACCACTGAGCCTTGGCCTTGTGCAGGTTTCATTACGCTGTCCTGGCCTGACCTGCCTGGTCAGTAGGAATTTGTTGGGGCAAAAGCTTGTGCATAATGCTCAGCCTGGGTCAGGTGAGGCTTCAGGCTGTCATGTTTGTTGAATTCTCTATAAATGTGAGAGTAGATGTGCTCCTGAAAGATCGCAGGAGCTGCCAGGCAGATCCAGACTGCTTTGTGGGGATTATTTCCCTCTGAAGTCCAGACAAAATGTTCAACTGTCACGCGGTGCTATGCACATTGATAATATTAGTGTTAAAATTTTCCTAAATGTTTCATGTACTGATACAATGATAATCACAGTTTACAAACTTTGTTGAGTACAAACTCCTATGAAGGAGAATATCCTGTTAAATATTAGCTGAAACAACAGAAAGACTGTGTCATACAAGTGCTGCAAAGCCTGTTTCTGAACTTAAGAAAAATGTAGCTGATGCTATTTATTCAGGAAGAACAGGTTAAATATTGTGTTTTCTGAGCTTGAGTTTTCTTACGTAGGTCTGTACTGGCTTCCAACATCTTTGATTAGGTTTTTGCTTTGGAACCATGGCAGGAAGGTACATGAATGGAAGGTTGGTTAGTTAAGGAACAGACTCCTAAAGACTTTTCTAAACGTGCTGTCACAACATTAATGTCAGAACAGCTTCTTCAGCAGCAGCTCCACCCGTCATGTTGTGCATCTTCCACATATATGATGTTTTCTGGGTTTTGGTATAGTTTGGTAAATACTTTCCTGTGACTGCTTTTTCTTTTTTGAGATAAGTGTATTGTCCGAATTATTGATTATACACATCACTTTCATGTGTGGCATATTTTTCACTAATATCTGTCATTCTACTCCTTATTATAAGCCTATGTCTAATTCTGGATTTAGCAATTCAGCAAATAGCAAGTGATGAAATAGCAATATAGCGTAGTGCTGGATGTTGAATTCAGGGTGGTGATTTTGTATTACAAGGTTTTTGAATCAATAGCGCAAACAGATAATTTTACCTCTGTAAAAGTAACTTTTGGCCTTTTCCCTAAATCGTTGGTCAACTGAAACAGTATCATGGTCTTGGACTTTTGCTTATCATACTCCTGTGTGGATGTGCTTTCTCTGAAGCTCATGTATGAGATCTGGACTGGCCACAGGGGATGCAGAAACAGGCAGTTTAATCTGTTAACTGTCATACTCTATGATGGTGTGCTAGTCAGAAATGGCGTGAAAAGTGTGGGTGGAGATTCTTGGTTAGTTTTGCAAAAAAATTTTAAATTTATTATTAGTATTTGGGTAAGTTGATGCTACAGTAGAACTTGGTGTCTTATCCTGCTGACTAGGAGATCTGTTGCAGCTTCTGATTGAAAAATACTTGTGATAAATTTCATCTAGGCGGTCTAGAAATGTGAAGTAATCTTAAGCTAGTAGCAAACATCATATCAGCAAACTTTTGACCCAGTCTGTATCTTTCTTTCCTGGGAACTGTGTAGAATTAATATTAGTTGTATTTCAGTTTTGCTGTGTGGGATATTTATAATGTAATATTAAATCGTATACAACTTACCTGAGGAGGAAAATACCAAATGTTGCCAAGTGGGCAGTGAGGAAATAAAACTGCTAGAAAAAAGCGTAATATCTGTTTGTGTGTTGTGAAAGCTCAGCTTCCTTTAATTAATTTCTGACGTTTTTCAGTCTACAGACTTAATACATTTGAATATGTCCTCTCCCAGTTTAATAAATCTTTGTGTAAATGCAAGAAAATGCATTTAAATCTGTAGATGATATGTGTAAAATGTGCTTGCCCAGACTTCCCTGTAAATGGTGGGGGTTTAAATGAACAAATGTTAAATAATGACTATAGAAATATTATTTTAATATTAAATATTATTTTAATGCAAAAGAGTTGTCTTGGAAGGTTCTACAGGCTAATGATGGGTGTGGTTGGTTTTGCTGCTGGGTAGGAAGGCAATGAAACCACCACACCTAACTTTCAAGTTGGCAAGGAATTATCTGTATTTGGCAAAGC